GTGATGCTAGTTTTTTTGTCAAAGGTTTGCACCCTGTTCTGTTCTGTTCTTACTTCGCACACTCCTAATTGACTTCAGGTACGAACTTCATGGATGAGTGGACGAAGCTCCAAACAGAGAACAAGGTCCATGTGACTTCAGAGGAAGCTTGGTCTCTCTGCTTGCAGACTGCGCACGACGAAGTTCTGAAAGGACACCAGGGTGAGTAATAGTGAATGACTATAAGGATACTGGTGTTTTTTACTGGTCCTGGTACATTCCTCTTATACCACTATTTCAGGGTGGAGGGGTCCACCTAAACCACGCGACTAATTGTGTCTGGGCTTCCAAAACGGAGGTCTGTACGTTGGACGGTTTTGATGGCATGGGTCGTGCCAGTTTTCTTGGGGTTAGCCTTCTGATCACCACGACCGAAGCTATCCCTGGTATGCCCCTGCAGGAAAGTCTCTTCAGCATGCGGTGATTGTGGAAACATCCACGCATCCTTATCCCGCAAAGTCCCACACGTGGACTCAGGACAGCAGGGCAAAAGAACAGAGTCTGCACTTCAGGATCAAGGCAGATAGGAACGTGGGAAATTGATCTTATGCGGAGGCTTTATCACGTGCAGTTTGATATTGCAATGGGGTGGATGGGCAGCAAGAGATTGAACTCTTGTACCTACCTTTGAAAGGGCCGGCAGCTTGGCGTTTCTGTGCGGAGCCGCGTAGCAGTTAGACCCCGAGTAATTACATCCTAGCTCACAGAGACGAGAGAACCCCGGCAAGGACATGGAAAATAACATGGAAGCTACTATAGTATATTGGGGTTATATAGGGATAATGGAAACAAAATGGAAGCCACTATAGTATATTGGGGTTCTATAGGGATAATGGAAAATAGAATGGAAGCTACTATAGTATATCGGAGTTATGTTTACGAAAGTTTGCAGGCTTATTGTCACAGCGTTGATAGGAAGTCAGCATCAAGAAGCGCAGAACGTCTTCTCCGACAGGACGTCCACATGCCCTCCGCCAGCAAGCTTCGCGTGAACTTTTCTTCGCGCTGCTGCACCACGGATGATTGCTCCACGCTGCAGGTGTTGGCAGGCAGGTCACAGCGTACGGTATGTGTATTTTTGAAGCTTTGAACCTTCCGAATTCTATGATACTTGACACCTAGGAATTTGTGTAATCCAAACTTCTGTGTAAGTCCCAAGAAACCCTATCTGACCCTCTATTCTCAGGTGGGCTCAGCAAGAGTGCCGCTGGCGTGGGAGCTCGAGCTCACTTGAAGGCGATCACCGGTCCGGATCAGGCCCCGGCTCTTCTGAAGGGTTTAGGGTTTAGGGACCCATAGAGATCTTTTCATATCTTTTCGAAGGGGTGACAGGCGGCATATAGGGTCTCCCTAAAAGGGGTTAGGTATGGGACTAGACAGAGGACCATTGTAGGGCTTATTAAGGAGGATACTAGGAGTTTAGACTATAGCACATATCTGTCACATACTTGTCAATAGACCTGCAGGGTGCGCGGCTAGGATTGAGAACGGCTAAATCGTCAGCAGGTCCATGGAACTTTGGCGGGCCAAAAGGAGGGTGGCAAATGGAACCTCGGCTAGGGTTTAGGGGTTCAGGGTTTAGGGCTTAGGTGAAGGGTGGGCATGTATCACGTGGTGCAGCATGGCATGGTGACAAGGATGCCCTAGCCTTATAATTAAGTTGTAACGTCACCAAACTTACAAGGGATCTCCACATGGATCCGGACATCCCCAATGTGGACAAATTGTTCAGCTGCCCTAGCCTATACGCAGGAGGCGAAGGGCAAGGCAGACTTATCCCCCAAGCAACTGAGGATTGTCAACATTGATAAGGATGAGTCGGAGATTTGCGGCTGCTTCCGCCTCTTGCCAGGAATTTTTTGCTTGATTTCAGCCCTGGGCCATGCAACCCTAATCCTGCTTGCTGAGGTGAGTGGCTAGATGAGAGCCCTGGTCGCAGCTGCACTGCCGTTTGTGCGCAGGAGGCCGCCATCCTGAAAATCAAGCGCCCCTGCTGCAATGTGAGCATTTCCAAAGCCAGGGCTCCATGATCGAAATATCATGGAACGAGAGGAGGAATCGAGGAATCCCGATGGTAGTACCTATGCAATCGAAGACATGGTGACTGTTTGTTGGTAACACTTTCAAATGTAGAGTACCTGTATTACTTGCTTGCGCTTCACGGGTAGTGGGGGGGTGGATATAGGCACCAGGACTGCGACATCGAGTCGGGTCGTTCAACGTATTGCTTCTTTTCGCCAGGTAGAGTGGCTTGCAGAAATTTCAAGAAATTGGGGTTGTGCTGTTCTCGGAAAATCCTAAATAACAGATGTGCTTACAGGGAAGAATGGGCGATATAAGTGGCAGGCACTACCTGCATACCAGCAGCAGCGTGTAAATCTCCCCGGCTCCTGTGAGAGATGGGACTTCTTCAACTGAAGGGGCTTCTACTTTTCAAGGTCATATCGCCTGAGAAAATCTTTCCAGTCTCCGGCTGAAGGTATGGCAGCGGCACGAAGGTTGGAGATGAGATTGCAGGCTTTACCTTCAACGAGGCGGGGCATGTTGGCATTTTTTGGGCTGGAGAACCTGCCTACAGCTAACAGCTAAAGCGGAGGCCTGATTGCAGACTTGCAGAATTGTTGGTCATCTTCCATGCGTAGTTGCACTAGAATGCTTTGCGTTTTCGCCGTCTCTGACTCCTTATATCATCCCAGTTTGCATGTCATTTTCCGTTTCTAGGTTCCGTTTGATTCTCGACTGTTGGGTAGTGTTGCGGTAGTATCTCGAAGCCCTATATAATCCCTGTACATCCCGAATCCCTATGTAATCCTGACATGACCCTATATACGCAAGCCATAGAAGTAAGCCTTTATATCCTCCACAATATACCTACCTGGAATATACTGGGACCTATTGCACCGTTGATACAAAACATCCTGCATGACTGCATGACCTTAATATGCTATAGTGCCAGATCCCTCAGACGGAAGGTGCTGCGGGTCATGCAGGAGTGTTAGTATTATAAGCCCCTATACCATCCCGGTTCCCATGTCATGTTTCATGGTCTTTTCCATGTGATTCTCCATAATTGGGGAAACAATCCTTAAACCCTAAATCGCAGTTTCCGTTTTCCGTTTCCATTATTTATCCCTATATCCTCCACCATATCCCTAAACCCCAAATGGGTGTTTCCCCAAATAGCGGCACCCCAACATAGACCTTAACATGCTAAATATCCTCATTATGTGGACCCACCCCCCCCTCCCCCTCACCAAAAAAAACAACCTAAAATGGTGAAACTCCACAAAAAACTGTAGTCAGAGACCTTATGGCCCAGGCCTCCCCTATGACGCCTTTCAGCGTGGAGGGCTTCTCCAAGCCAGGTCGGCCCTAAGGGCTAAGGCGTGAGAGGACATGAGCTATAGTCTAAACTCCTTAAAGGGGGCTATATAGGGGATTATATAGGGTTTAGGGCTTAGGGTCTAAACTCCTTAAATGGGTAGTATAGGGGAATTATATAGGGGAGTACTATAGGGGCTATTGAGGGGGATATGATAGGAGTTTAGACTTTAGCTCTTTTGTTTCTTTTAGTGGTTTAAGATTTAGGGTTTGCTTTTGGGGGGGCCTGTGTGAGGTAACCTTTTTCCCTTCTTCTTTTTTGGTGTCTCCTGATTAAGGCTGAACATTAGGAAAAAGGGCACCTTATTTGCAAGGGGTTACTGGGGCTAGCTTTTACGGGGGGTTCAATGGGGTATGCGGATTGTTTACAGAGGTAAACCGGGCTTAAGCCTTGCCAGTACGGGGCAGGATCTAGGCTTCAGTACTGTGGTTTTGGGGTCATGGTCCATTCCCTGGGCTCTTCTAGCTTCATCCTGTTGATGTGGCTGCTGGGAATACTGAGCCTTCGTTTTGAAACATAGTTGTGCGAATGCGAGTGTCGTGTTACAACGTCACACGTATGCTGCTCTTCCATATTGCTGCTACTACTACAAATAATACCAGTAAGAAGCATACAAAAAATGCAGCTATGACTACTGTTACGACTTTTTCTCCTCCTACTACTGCTCCTGTTACTACCGGTCCTCCTCCTGCTGCCTGCTGCCTCCTTCTGCTGCTGGTGACTTTGGAGAGCTGCAGGTGGGCCCGCGCAGCTGAAGGGGGTGTTTGCCGGCTGGTTTGTTGACGTGATGGCGCTGATCAAGTCGCTTGGCAACCGGCTTTGGCAATATGGGGTTTAGGGCATATAGTGATAATGGAAAAGACGATGGAAACTTCTATAATGGGGTTATATCATAGAGTTTAGGATTTGTGGAATAAAGTGGTACTAGTAATTAGGTGTTGTATGGGGGGCTTGAGGGACGCATGGGGTTCATATCAATGGTATGGGATACTTCTTCTAGTGAAGGTACCTGGGTAAAACCCCGGAGAGTCGGTTTGTTGCGGACAAGGCCGCTTCTTCAAACAGTGGGTGCCAGCACCTTCGAATAGAGTTTCAGACCTTGCCCCCTAAACCCTAATAAGTAGTTTCCATTTTCTTTTCCATTATCCCTATATCCCCTATATATATATATCCCCTATATAACCCCTACAGTTCCCTATATAATCTTTAGTATAGTAGTTTCCGTTTTCCGTTCCATTATCCCTGTATAACCCCTACACATAACCCTAAATCCTCTGTTTCAGACTCTGAGGCTGAAGAAGTTCAAATCCCTGGAGGGAGAGGGCTTCGGCGATCCCCCTAAGAATCTCGCGGAGATCGCCGCGAACATTGAGGCTGGGCAATTTAAAGCGACCACCCGACCTCACCCTAAGGTTTATATAGAGAATAGTACCAAAATGGCCTTAAATTGGGAATTCAAATTATTATCTCGGCACATGGAATATAGAACAGAGACTACTCTAAATTACCTTGATTCAGGGCTTCAAGAAGCGCATGGAAGCTCTCCGCGAGGTTTCGGACATGACGCCCGGTTGCAGAGGGTTTAGGGTTATACAGGGGTTATATAGGGATAGTGGAAAGGAAAATGGAAACTACTATATTATATAGGGAAAATGTAGGGGTTGTTTAGTGGTTATATAGGGATAATGGAAAAGAAAATGGAAGCTACTTACTAGTGTCTAGGGATCATGTTGCGAAGCCTTGTGAAACTCGATGCTTTTGAGGGACTAGTTTGAGGAAAGCCTGCGTATGCTTTCACAGTCTTGATGGCGTTTTTGGGGTACATATATTCCTAGCATAACTCAATGATTAAGCCAGGAAAGCTCAGCAGCTAGGGAACTCCGGAGCGACTCACTCGCCACACGCCACTGCGTTTTCGCTCTGAGCACGGAAAGGTCTCTTCAAGCAGCCGCATGATGTGTTCTAGCCGAAGCCTACTATCAGAAGTATGTTATGGTGTTTTGTGTGTATTGCATATTATCATATGATAGTATTTTATAGTGTATAATACATCCTGCGATTCTGCGTGCTCAGAAACATTACCTTCTACAATGGCCTCGACTTCCAGCTTCTTCCTGTCTGCGCCGCTGACTACAAGGCTCCGCCAAGATTCAGAATGGCAGTGGGAAACTACTACATTATGTAGACGACATTATAAAGGGAACATGTTGGGGTTACATAGGCGTTATTTAAGGATAATGGAAATGAAGCTGGAAAACTCTATATTATACAGGGAAAATGTAGGGTTATATAGGGATAATGGAAAAGAAAATGGAAACTACTTATTAGGGTTGAGGGATCATGCGGTTCTCTGGACCGCGAGATTTGACCATCCCCCCAAAGAGAGTGTACGTTTTGCCGTGTCTGCATTTGTGGTGAAAAAAGCAACATACTTACCAAACTAACATGCAGCTGCTATCCATTCTCACTTGCGAGCAAGGGGAAGTCCGTCGTTCCTAAACCCTGCTCTCCAGGGTCAGGTCTGCAAGCAATAAAAGGTTTAGGGCTTCAGCTGCAAAAACGCTGGTCATATATGCCATATAGTCTAGAGTCTAAATTCTTTATTAGGGGATTATATACGGGACTATTATCGGGGTTATTAAGGGGCACAGTGGGAGTTTAGACTATAGCTCATGTATGCAGTGGCGACTCGTAACGTCGTATCGTTATGGTTCGGGATTCTTCCGACCTCACCCTGCAGGGCGCGAAGGTGAGCGATGAGATCAACAGTTTCAGCTCAAGCGGCGGGGCGCCTGGATGTTTAAGCTGTAACTGAACCCCCAAAGTCGCTAAGACTATGAGCCCAAACCATGTAAAACAGCCAAATGGGCCATTATTCTACATACTT